ACTCACATTGTATATATTGTCAGGCTATATTATTATATATTTTGCAGATCCAGCGAGGTTAGGTTAGTAACTTAACTTCGTAGTGTATAATTTCTATCTTTAAAGTTTCTAAGTTAAAACAAGTTATTTATCGTTAATCTTATTCTTGTTATTATAATATTATTATTTATTTATTTTATGATTATATTTACCGACGATTTTCCCACCTTAAGCTCCATTACAGATTTTATACTCAGTAATTTTGATGTTTTTGACTAAATATAAAATACAGATCTAAAATTGTATTCAATCATCCTAAATATTTTATTTTTTTGTAATCATTAGCAACCCTATAATAACAAAAAAATATATTATTATTATGTCTATTATTTCTATAATAATTCTCAAATTTGCAATAAAAAAAATTAAATTATATAGCTTAGAGATCCTTGGGATAGTGTAGATTTCTGATGGTAAAAAACATTTTAAATCGGATAAGTAGTTTCAGAAATTACCCCGAACAAACAATTTTTCTTCTTTATATTAGTACAGATAATATTATACAAATGGCTTGATGGTTTAATGTAGGAAAACTATTACTTCTTTGGAATTTTTAAATAACGCATTTGTTTTTACTGTCGCAATATGGCATATACTAACGTCGACAAATATACATGCATAGGTAATCTCTATACAGTTTACGAACGAGTATAATTAACACATTTACAAAATAGACGATTGACGATATGAGTTTGTTGCTCGGGCAAGTGAATTAGTGAAACAACAACCAATAAAACGCTTGCCCATTTGTCGAAAATCGTTTCTGTATAATATTTTAGACGACGGTAATATTGTGTTAAATTATTTATCAAGTATAGTTTATTATAAACACCTGTTTAAATAAGCGGGGTGGACGTAATCATGTGTGGTAAGAACGTGGTATATCCGAAAAGTAAAACGATATAATTTATTAGGTATTTATAGGTTTGTATGAATGCGTACGGTGCTGTTGAGTAAATATCTATCGACTAGTGCAAATTAACTTATGTGAAAAAAATACTACGTATAAATAATATGTGTATACCTATATAAATTGAACTAGATTGTTTAAAATGTATTGGGCATAAATGTTTGGGTGAAGGAAAAAACAATTGTCGATTTTTCAGTAATTCGATTTTAGGTTTGGTCAACGCGGTATATTTACAACGGCTGTTTCTTTGCAAATTATTTACGGTTTAAATCGATTTCCGGACTACGATCCTGGCAATAAAATTGCGACCAGCCGACTGTGGCAAGCTTAGCGAACTGCGGAAAAACTAAAAACAAAATACATAATTATACCGTGGTATGTAACACACTGCCGTATGTGTAGTTGTATACGACAACCCGTGCCCCCGTTCCGGGAAAACCCACGTGACCAGCTTAGACGGAAAGAGAAATTAAAAAGCCGAGTGCGACGACCATTTATCATCAGATCCGCGTGAACAGGGTGCGCGCCCTCTTTTTTCACTCTTTCCCTCTACCCGATGTATAATATAGTATACATATATGTATACAACACGTTATTATATTCGTGTGAGACGCTATAACCCCTCCGAGTAAGAGTGCAACGACCCTAGGAAGGTTCCGCCACCCCTCCCCGACTATATATACGATGCGTACCGTATTACAAATCCGTCGGGCCGCCGCGTGTGCCCTTTCGGGACGACGACGACGACCACGACCACGACGACGACCACGACCACGACGACGAGAATGCTGTGCGCGCGTTTTCATTCACTCTCGACCGCCGCACATTCTTGTCCGTTCGCGCCGCTGTTTGCACAGAGAAACAAGACGACAAGAGAGAGATACAGTTATAAAGAGAAAGAGGGAGGGAGAGAGAGAGAGAGGGACAGTCAGACAGTTGTGAGTGAGAGAGTGTGTGGTGGTATTATTTCGCATTCCTCAGTGTTATAAGAGCGGAAATTCTTCATAGAAAGTCGGACACCGCCGCCGTACGCGAAACAATGGACGAGAGTCTGCGGCCGCGACGTTTTTACATCACGAATGTGTGCGAGGCGGACCGTCTGGGCCGGTGTGCCGTGCGTGCAGACTGCAGACTACACATACACACCACCACCCCGCGACAGTGGAATTATCGTAATAATACCTATATAATGCGTTTTTTGTTTTTAAGTATATATATAGATGATATATGTATGTATATACAATATACTTATATACGTGATACGTCGTGTATGTATATTATATTGTATACGCGCGTTATGTGATGTGTACAGGCGCCGCCGCCGCCGCGCCGAGGTCAACAGCCTAGCTCTGTGAGTCACACGCCGCAATAGCACACCGCCGTCGCGTTGCCAGTGACTCAGACACGTGGTGCGGGAGTCTCGTACTGGAAAACCGCCCCGGATGGTAGAATTTTCAAAACAAAATCACCGGATAGAGTCTATTCGATAAAAAAAAAAATATGTCAATACATCGAAGTGTGAACGATACAATTATATAATTTCAGCTGTACGTTATTTAGGCAAATTAATTAAAACAGATTGGATGGCTTCTGTAGTTCAGTGACTTTCGTTCTGGCTTGGGGTGGGTGAATGGGTGATGGTTAGGACGGAACGGCTGCCAATTATTGAGTTAATGTATTACAGCATAGGTATATATCGTACTGTTGTTATAATATCTGTACTACGGTATCGGCGTGTTTTGTTTGAAATGGACTGTTTGACGAGGAAACCTTAGGAGATCGCCTCTGTAGTTATACACGATTGGCGTGTGATATTGTCGTGTACACACCCCATGCGGCGGTCGGTTCTTTCGGTTTTAGAAACCATGTGCGCCGCATTATATATTATATTCTCGTCAAGAATTGTATTCGCGGAAAATCACACCGGGTGGTGGCTGCAAAAGCGCCAAAACGTTTGTGTCAAAAATCAACAAGTCACGGAAGTGGTGGCAGTGGTGGTGGTGGTAGGAACTGACGACCTTCGGCAGCGCGTATGTCCGTGAATCATTTTGTAACAACTCTCCAACGAATAAAATAATAATAATACTCCTCCATGCTGTTTACAAACTCGCCCGGGTACACACGATAATTAGTAGTGGCCAATGTGTTTTTGTTTACAACGAATGTCGTTTGGCAAACGGACACTACGTATAATTAATAATATTATTGCAGTACATATTCTGTACTTTAAAATGTAATAATATTGGTTTATAGATAATAATGATTTTGATTTTTAAATTTATGGTGGTCCGCGGAAACACGTGTAAAAAACAATATCTCCCCGTTGCCCAATTGGCAATTGTTGTAGTTGTACAGTATTACACAGCATACATTATTGTAATAAAATAATAATAATCGTTTAACAAATATAATATAAGTGATTGGTTTATATTATATTTCCATGTTTTAGTGTTCTCTAAAAAACCCATTTTGTTTGACGTTTGTATTCGATGACCTATGACTATAGTAATTTTACAATATTGTTAAATTGTACGACCTTCTTTGAAGGTATAGTTCAATGTAATCACTAACGTCCATTCATTTCAAATATCATTCAATTCAATCAGACATATTAAAAGAATCGGGTTTTCAACGTGTTATCTGTAATATTTAAGGAAGGTATTGTAATAATAATTATTATCAATTATTGATAGCACCAATACATACTATAGGTACGTGTCCGGTGTACGGCGTACCTACTTATTGTCGATAAGTAAACTTTATCAATGGTAATACCAGCCAAATTATTTCACATAGTATTATCATGATTTATTATTATTATTATTAAGTATATAATGATACGGGACATCACATTTCCGTCTTCCGGCATATAACATAGTATATAGTCTAAAAATTCTTCGATGCCCGGGGAATTTTGGATAACATTAAAATATTATTATATTATTGTATACCTAAAAAGGCACGTGAAAGTAAGACGAGAAGGAATAATGTGTAAATAAATAAAGCGAAAAAGAAAAACTTCGTCAGACATTCATAAATTCCACTCGGCAGGTCATCGGTGGTGCGGAAAGAGTGGTGCACGCATGTAGTTGTCTTTTAAACTTATTTTTCATTCATAAATCGTGTCGGTTTATCCCACCCTTGACCACTGTAAAACGGGAGGAGAAGAAAAATAATTTCGATGTTTTCCCGAGCGACGTTGTGTATATTAATCCCGAACGAGCTGGTGTGCTCTGGGGACAGTGGCGATTTCCGATTCGTTTCCGGTTGCCGGAGAACGAGATGGACGACGCGAACCGAGAAATACCGAGAAGCGACAAATAAATGTAAAAAACTAAATGAAACAAAACAGCAAATAGAAACCGTACGGATAGAACGGAATGCGCATCGTACAAAAGAGAATAACCGTTTTGGCGGGTACTTTGAACGGAGGATCCACTGTATTCCACACGGTCGGCGAACGGCGGCGGCGGCAAACGCGATCCGCGCGTAGTCGCGTGTGTACAAGCGTATAACACGGCCAGGTCCGTACGCGCCGCCGCGGCAGTGGGGGACTTTTGCCCCTCCCCCACCGCGCCCCCACCCTTGGATAGCCTTCGACAACGACGCCGCCGAGAGTGCGTTGAGCTCGATCAGAATTCAGAGGCGACCACCGGCAGACGGCAGTCTACTACAGTCAGTATTCGAATACCACCGTTCGCGACTGTTCGAATTTAGTCAAATTTCGTATCTAAACAAATTTATTATTTACAAACATCGCAACTATAAAATATTATTATAAACTCAAGTTCGGAAGCGTGAGTTCTGCTTACATCGTCTCCGCGTATAACTTTTGGTTATTTATTTTGTGTTTTTCAATACATCCTTAGTTAATTTTTTATTAAATTCGTGTATTAAATACCGATATCAATAAAGGATAAAAAAAAATTTTAAAAACCGCATCTAAAATCAAGTCAGCACCCGAGAGAATTATTACGTCGTCCCATCATGGTGAAACGCCGCCAACGCTGAGTTCGTTTCGCCGCTCTCCGCCCTTGTCGTTTACCGCGTTATGGATACCAAGACGTCCGCCTATCATCTAACCCATCACCACCATCATTTACACCAGCAGACGAAGAAACAAACTTCAGCCGCAGCAGTCATCGTCCGGTCTCGTCCAGTGCAGTTCGCACAAACGTTGGCCAGGGTTTTTCGTATCGGGCGCAAGGAGAAGATATCAAAAAAAGCCGCCAACAAGGTACGTGGGCATGATGCCCAGTTATATTTAAACAATTTTTTTACCCAAAGTACCTTTATTGGCACTTCCGGGGCGCGCACGTGTGCCCATTTACAGCGTGGGTGAATTTTCTCGCGCTCTGCATGATTTTCCATATTTTTTCCTCCCTGTTTTGCCGCCCTCTGAAATTCGGCGGCCAGAACGCGCAGCACCCCTGACGGCGAGTCTGAGAAGGCGCTTGCGCGAGGCGCCCGCGCTTTCGCGGCCACGATGTCGTCCGTAACCCTGCGCGCTTATCGTTACGTCACACCATAGCTTGTGACGTATGTAAACATAACCGGATGCTGTCTAGCCGGTCGGCTCACCCTCAGGATCGCAAGAATTTTGTCCGGGTCGTCTCAACATCGATTATTTATTTATTATCTCCGAACTCATTTCGGCCGGACTCGTAAGACAAGAGTGGAAAAAAAATGCATTAAACCTAGTCTGTCGAATCGGTCGCTCCAGAGGGATGTGGTTTGACCTACTGGCCCCCTTTTAAGTTCCCCGCCACCGCGTGCTTTCCGTCGTGCGGGCGGGCGGTTTATCGATTCTGAGAAATTCGCGTCTGTGTCGTACACGTCTTGTGTGGCGGATACGAAAACCCATGCTCCGACGGGGGACGCGTTACTGCTTGTGTAGTTGTGTCTCGTGCAACAACATGCGAGGAATGCGCGTTGTGTAATATTCTAATAATAATAATAATAAATAACGATCGGCGCGCGTGGATGCGTGTGTACCGCCGCCCCTACCACCGTGGACAATGACCCACATACCGAAGGAACGAGAAACGCGACCGCCGCTGTTTTTTTTCACTTTGCCGATATAACATAATAACAATATGTACCTAGTACCTTATACCTGTAATGGGTTTTCCATCGCCCACCGATAACGTATCAGTGTACGTTGTCTACAGTCGAAGGGTATCAGTGCGTTTTTTCCCTCTAATTATTTTTATTTTCCACGTGATAACATGAATTGTATTATTTATTATATTTATAAATACAGAGACCGCGTCACCGCGAATAATAGGTAATAATAATAAATAATAATAACAATAATAATGCCATTAATATTACGAAATAACGGTGGAGCCGTCTGACGGCCCGTCGTGCCTCCTCCGGCGGAACGATTTCGCGGAAAAATGGGTCGTGTTGTGTCTACGGCCGAGAGAGATATTATTAGATATTATTATTTCGTACAACAGACAGAGAGAGGTTTTGCGTTTTACGCTGCGAATCCATCGTCACATGACACTGCGCCGCGGGGAGGGGATGAGCGTCTGGTGCGAGGGGGGAAATCGTCTGGTTCACTGACGGGGGGTGCGGTGTCGTCGAGTGTCCGACGCGCGCGGGGATCTCCGTTCGCGCCCAGCGATTGTTGTTGTTGTTGTCGTCGTCGTCGTCGTGTACGATAGCAGCCGCAGACGGTTGGCCAGGTGCAGGCGGCTGGCCCGGTGCGCGTATGTCGTGCAGCCCTGTCTCTATCGCTAAGCAGTAAGCGGCCGCGTCGGCGGACGACAACAATAGGGGCCGCGTACGTTTTTCTTCTCGACAGTCTGCAGATCCCTGGGCCAGGTGTGAGAGCTAGACGACGGTGATGACTACCCGGACAACGTGCTACAGTGCTACACCTGCTTTCACCGGGCGGCGGCGGCGGCGTATTGCACGCTTTCACTACCGTTCCGCCGAGTAGAAATAACACTACGTGTGTACACGTAATTTACGCTTTTGCGAACGATATTAATATTATATTATTATTATTACGTCGTTGCCGCCGCCGTTGATAAAATAAGAATAGCTATTTTCGGTGCCTCGGTGGGAAAAACCGGTGTTCAATGAGTTGGACTCACAAACATGCGCGTGCACGCACGGTCGACGGCGGCCGTGTGGTTGTGTATATTACCGCGTAAATATTTATTATTATTATTACTAAAGAAAGAGAGGGAAAAAAAACGCGGGTTGTGTGTGCGTGTGTACTACTATACTATTATTGAGTACAACTACTATACACAACTATACAAGGAACCCGCGCGCGCGCGTCCATGAAGATGGCATTGAACTTGTCGTCGACCCCGGTGGCCCTCCTCCTCAACGCCTCCCCGCCGCCCTAACAGGGCCGTTGACACCGCCGCCGCCATATGTCCTTGCGTGCGGCGGCGGAGTCGTCGTCGCAGGGTTAACAGCCGCCACCGACACTCGCCCCGGTGAGGGGGAACAAACGACAACGACTCCCGGTAGGTGCCCCGCCACTGTGTCCTTGATGCTCGGCGTACACGCGTTATATAAATACACGGATCCGGTGTTATTGTACGAAACTAGTTTGAGCGAGAAAACAGATTGGCAAGAAAAATGTGTAATACATAATATTATTATTACACCAAAGCACACGCTTGCGGCGTCGTTTGGGGAGAGGGTGGATTTAGGAGTGAAAACCTTTGATTGTTTTGAATCACCGACGGCGACGTGATAAATACGGACGTGTCTCACGCGCGTCCGCGAAAGTCGGCCTCGTCGACTTGTAAACAAACCATAAACAACGGAACAACAACAACGTCGACGACACACCGCTCTGCTGTCGACGAGACTGCCTTGGGCGTTGGCAAGGTCGTCACCACCACCATCACCACCACCTCCACCACCACCACGTTCAGTGCTTCTGCGGCGTCCGTCGTTCTTTGCACATCCGGAGAACAATATTATTATTTATAATATTCAGTCAAAAGAGCACTGAGGCCGTTATTGTTTCCTTTGGTTGCAAAAAACTTAGAGGCAAAACTCTACTGTTGTTGTTTTATCCATATTATTTAGCCTCGTTATCATTTCTGGGGTTTTTCCGTGGATAGTTCCCGCTTTCTCGTCGTGTTTTTTTTATTTTACTTTTAATCTGTTTTTTATTCCGTCTGCCGGTCGGTGTACACCCCCGCTATCACGTGCCGTATCGGTACTTGCAAGCGCGTCCGGTTCGAGACTATATTTGTTACGTCACACGCCGCCGTCGGATCCCCGCGAGAGATAACGCGCCACAAATTGTTGAATGACGCAATTCGGATGCACACACACCACCACTGTGTACACTCGACAACAACGTGTGCGTGCGTGTGGTTTCCGATCGCGTCAATGTTTTGAATGAAATGCGTCGCCGCCGCCCGCGATAACAAACAATACTCACACATACATAATCGACACTCGCGCGCATACGCACACACTCACTTGGCGCTTTCGGTGCCGCCGAATTAAAACGATTATTATTATTGTTTTTTTTTTCAATTTTATCTCAAGCTGCATACCAGTGTCACACACACACTACGTACTGTGATACGGCTATTTTTTTTAATTAATATTTACGAGACTGACGTTTAGTTACACGACAACAACACACCGCCTCTGTGTATGAGTGAGATAATACGGCTGAAGTGTATTGTGCGCTCGCAATTTTTATAAATTTGTTTTCGAATACGACGCCACTCCGATGGACGGACGATACGATAACTTAATAATAACAAACGAAATAAAGGATTTATTCTTCGAATTGGATAAATATATAACGCGTATAGCGCTCAGTCATCCATGTCATGCCTTTTCTTGAAGTCGAACACCTTTAAAACGATATTTTTCAAAGAATAATGTCTTTACTTGCTGTCTTTACCCTGTAGTATCGATGCCACCACCTCTTCCCCTATCGGATACACAAACACTGATCAAACCCCGTCGTGTTGTTGTCAAATCAGTGGACGACCGAAATTCCTCATTTTCAAAAATTTCTGTGCATGTTTCGTAACTGTGATATACACATAATTCGTCGAGTTGTAGCACTCTTCCCTGCCATCCATCCCTGGCCGCCGCTAGACCATCCAAAAGTCTATCGATTTATGCAATGTTCCTGAAATAAAAAAAAACAACATGGCCCAAAATCTATATATTTCGTCCGTCGTCGTCATCCATCGCGTATAACAACAACAACAACAACAACAACGATTATGTGGGTGAAGGTTGCGTGCCGCGTGCCGCGCGCCGCGCGCCGCCGCCACTGCTGTCGCAACTGTCAATAGGTACGCAAAATAATATTATATACCATTATATAATGGAAATATTATACGCATCGATTTCACAACGGAGTTTGTAGTACAATAGTCTGTAATGTGCTGTTAGTTTTTCTTCTATTCGAAACGGAATAAACAAGCCTATATAACGTCACGTTGTTGTGTGCGGGCGGGTGGCGGTAACACAATTGTAATTAACTGAATAAGGAAAACCGACAAAATAACCGAGTAGCGTTTTGCAGCAAAATTTCGTTAACAATAATAATTTATCATATGCACGTCTGTCGAGTTTGAATAATATAGGTAGTAGCGGTGTAAAGCAGTGTTTTTGTGCGCGTGTGTGCGCTCGGTTGTTTACGTCGGGCCGCCACCGCTGGATTTCGAATGCTCGAAAAATATAGGTCAATTGTTGGCGTTTCGTGCTGTAATATACATACAACGGCCTATATACACGTACGTGTATATGTTGTATATCATATTATGTATATAATGCGTCGTCGCCACTGTTGGACGGGCGCCGGGGAGTGGCGAAAACGGTTTAAAAAAAAGTTTTACGACGAAGTAAAACGGAAACGGCTGCAATGTGTTGTGGTGTGTGTGTTTAGTAGTATAGTATTATGTACTGTGTACAGGTGTAGCGAAATTTAATATTATTTTTATTATCATAACGACCGGCACGTGGAGGAAGGCCGTGGCGTTCCCTTCTGCTCTGTCACTACTCCCCACCCGGCAATCTCGATGAGTTCAATATTATGTACAGGCCGCAGTGGCTGTAAAAAAACAGCCTTTTGGCCTGCCACCAAAACGCATAACATAATAATCGTCAAAAACAACACACAAACAAGAAGCACGCACGAGACGGCTGGACGGCTAAAAAATATCGTTTTTCCATTCTCCTTCGACGACCTACGTTCTTAAAAAACTTATAGAGGTGATTTTGTTGGTGAATGCGTATAATATAATATAATAATGTGTGTATAACACATGTGATAACGCGATCGCAGAGATCCGGGTACCCCTAACACTGGTGGGGGGTGTAATGGAGGGGCTAGCCGAGGTCGTCGTCTTTACGAACGCAGCTTCCCGGGGGTGTTTGGACGGGAGAGGGGAGTGATGGTCGGGTGATCGCCGAAACACGAAGCGATTGGCAATATCGTGTGACGTACTGTGGAGCCGTCCGAGCCGAGTAGTCGTGCGGATATAACGGGTTTTCCGTGTTTGTGCGCTTTGCTTACGAAAAAATAAAACGTGTTGCCGGCATGCGTGTGGTCTGTCGAACGAATTCCGATCGAACGCCATAATATAATATTATATAATGGTCTGTACACCGACGAAGCGGATGTACTCTCGGTGGCCCCCGGTGGGGCCGTGTGATTTTTTTTGACGAATTTTCTGCCGTCGGTTTCCTCGTCTTCCCATCCGATACGCGGAAATGAGTCAGAACCGCGGTGTACGCGATCATAATATATAACGTCCGTTTACGTCATAATCCACGCCAACAGGCGGGTGGACAAGTAGCAGAGGGATATAGGGTTGTTTTATTTACTCCCACTCGCGTCGGCGGCGCGTACACGCCGAATCCCACGCAATTACGTCACGGGCGCGCGCTTGTGTGTGTGGTGTAACGCACCGACGAAAACGCCCGCGACACACTGACATCGTTGTTGCGGGCGCGCGTCGTCGTCGTCGTCGTCGTCCTGCAACAGAGCACCGAGCACCAGTAATAGTTCATATCGCGTGCCGTTGTGAAATAATATTGTCGCCGCCTCTTCAAAAACCTCTTCACTTCCGTACGTAACACATCTCATACCTAGTAAATAATATAATTTAAATCGTCACTATTTTTTTTTTGCTAAAATTACTTTTAACATTTTTCTATTATTAGTTCTGTCGCTCTCTCCCTCATCCCTACCGTCACGTATGTCGTCCGTCGACATTTCGTCCGTGCAGCATTCCGCACAGGACATCGCTCCACGGGTGCGTGCCTGCAAATCGTGCGTACGTAAACCCATATATATATATATACTCGATATACCTATGTATACACATGTGCGTGTCGCCGTCGTATGGAAAAGTATGTGATGTGAACGCGGGTGGCCGCCGCCAACTGCAGCAGCGCCTCGCGGCGTACATAACATTTTTATCGTTCCGAAATAGAGAATCGCGCGCGGGGTCCGGCGCGGCGTGACGGGGTGCGCGCGTGGCGTGTCTGGGCGGCCGGGCCGAGCGTGTTTGGCACGGCACACCGTCTGGCCCGGGTCACAGGGTCGCCGTCTGATAGCCGTCCAAAAGACGGCTCTAGCGCCCTCCGTCGCGCTAAAAAAATCGTCTCGTCGACCTCTTGTCGCCCGACTTAAATGCCGCTGTGAAATAATATTATAACAAAGTATAAGATCGCATGGCCACGATCCGATGACATTTCAGTATAACCCTTCCCCTGAACGAAAGTACAGCTTTTGTATGCGTTTATATGTGTGCGAAACGAAACACATCATATCGAAGCATTTCGCATAATGGTGTTGCGTGATGTTGTGCAAAAACCGGGGTACCTACTTTCCATATTATAATAATATTCTCCTCGCCCAACGCCATCCGGAAACGACTCGTATCATTATTATGAACCATTATAATATAACTATGTCGGCATGTACCACCGCAACCTTGCAAACTATGCGCCGAAGCCCCTGAATGCATTTCGATCGTCGCTTATTCTGTTTCGTAAACGCCGTGCCGTGTAATAATTTGCACGATTTCCAAGTAAAGGTCGCGTACCGGGCGGTGAGAGTGTACTTGCATAACGCTCATTGATGAGATGATGCTGTTGCTCTGCTGCAGCCGAGACTTTTTATTAAATTATTATTTATTTTATAGTCGTATACTGTTTATACTAACGCGTTAAACGAATACATTTGCTAAGACAACGACAGTATACAATTTTTTTTCGCGAATTTTACAGTTACGTCTTTCTTTTTATTTTTTTTTTACATTACGTTTAGTATTTCGGTCGTCGACGCTGCCGCCGGGCGGGAAGAGAGTGTCTCTGACGTTGGGCGACTTGCCAAATGACGTCAGAGGCCTCCGCAACTACCACTGCCGCCACCGGTGTAATGTTTTTTTAAGCTTAAGTGTGTGTATGTCGGGTGGAGATCACGGCGGCGGGTGTTTGATTTTGTCGACGAACCGGCCGTTCTTTCCGCGTGCACGTCGCAACTCACGATTTTTTTATTATTATTATTATTTCAGTTTTGCATATATAATAAAGTATTATATCGTCTTCTTATTCTCCACAGATAGCAGCAGCTAAATCGTCCTCCACCGCCGCGTTCCACCACCAATCGCAGCAACAAATCGTCGTCATGCCGCCACCTCCGACTATGCAGACGGCCACACCACCGCCACCATCAACTCAGGCCACCCAGACGTCCCAGGTGGTGCAAGTCAACGGCGGTGGTCAGTCTTTGACCGCCGACAAGATCGTCAACATGATGCCAGTGACGAAACGCAATCCAAAGGATTACATTTTCGGAAAGGTCATTGGCGAGGGCAGTTACTCGACTGTAAGTATTCAAATATAACCACTGTCCACTACATAATATATTACAATATATATACATATAACTCGACCCTGATATCACGATTCACCTCCAGCATTATTTATCAGATCCGCAATAATTGCGTGTATTGCCTCCATACAATTTCTGACATGATACAATACACTTTCCTCCACAAAAATCATAAAAATATAATATTTCATACTAGTATTCATTTGCCAACAGCGTGCCACCTTGACGACCACAAGTTTTTCGTGTAGGTAATTTGTTTATTATTATACTCTCTCCACAAACAACACCTACGAATGCAAAATTCCTTATCGTCATACGGTCTAACCGACCTCCGCTAACATAATAATTACTCGAACGATCTATTTTTATGCGGTTTTTTTTTACATCGTCGTCGACCTTTCCGCCGGTTCGCCAAACCCATTATCATCGACACGCGCCACTCATTTCGCACGGCCGCGTGTGTGGACCTTACGTGGCCGCACATGCGTTATTCTATCGGGGAAAAAAACATTTCTCGCGTCCGAAAACATTGTCGCTGTCGTCGTGTTACCGACCCGTGTGTCCTCAAAAAGACCTTTGACTCTGGTATCGTAATAGTGTTTTACCTATAGGTATAATAAACGTTGTAACACGCTCGGCGTAAACTCATTGACCTTGGCTACAACTGTTTTTAGACCGGTTCAGTGACCGACGTGTTATCATCATCATCACACATACACACACACACACACACACACAACACTAAATACAGCAGTAATAGTACTGTATATCGTTCATAACGTGTACGTTAAATGCTATTGTTTTTATCTTTCCAGGTGTATTTGGCCAAAGACATACATACAAATCGCGAACATGCAAGTGAGTGTCCATTTGATAAGTTAATGACCGTATACATTGTACAAAATATATAACATTTCGTGTACCGCTACTACGGTTATAATTAGGGTTTTATTCAATAGATGTGTCTGTATATGGGGAATGGGGTAAATCATGTAATGAATAATGTAAATGGGGATAATATAGCGACTTCTTAACTACGTGATGTTGCTCCTAGTGTGATGAGGAGGAGGTGTCATGGTGGGGTGGTGGAGTGCCACACAAGAGTTTCGACACTGCGCGAGTGTTCATTTACTGCGTTTTTTATCGAAATAAAATTCGCGACCTCAAAATGCCGTTATTGTCGTATGTGCGAATTTTTTTTATAGTCCTATATAATACGACTATTCTACAAGGATGTGTCTTCCACGTGTCAACCTTCGGCGCACAGTGTTCGCTTTCGGCCACGGGTATTATTACCCTTGAACAACGGACGTTTACGATAAAACGCACGCATATTAGTCGGCCATTAATATTTATATGACTTCTTCGCTTAATTAGTACTGGTGTTAATTTCCGTCGATTTTTTTTTATCGTTCTCTTCTGTATACAACGTTATCGTTGTACACAAAATGTAACTGAAAACTGCATTTCGTCGTAGAAGAGGAGAGGGGACCTCCTCCCCCCAAAAAAATTATGTAAATTCGTTGTCGCTTGGTAGTATCTCCCATCCCCGCACCCTTAAATGACGATTCGTATTCCGAGCTCTCTACTATGCAAGTCTACTATAATAATAATATATATTTAATATATATTATAATATCTATATATATATAATTTATTATTATACCGGTTTTACTGACGATAAATTTTGTTTTGATTTTACAGTTAAAGTCTGCGAAAAACAACAAATCATCAGGGAAAAGAAACGCGAACAAGTACGTCGTGAAAAGGACGCTCTTAACATTCTCAGCAATTCAGGATCCAGTCTTTTCGTCAAGCTGTACTGCACGTTCCAAGACACCGAACGACTCTGTATCCTTTTCAAACTATCACCTATATGAATATTAATTTGTACACAAATTCTATGTTAGGCTATGTACTTCTTATGTTGCTCACTTTTGTGGTGTTTTCCTTAACACTTGCTCGTAGATTTTGTTATGTCATACGCAAAAAACGGTGACTTGCTACCGTACATAAATAAAGTGGGCTCGTTCGACGCTGCCTGCACTCGATTTTACTCGGGCGAAATCCTCCGCGCCCTGGAGCACCTACACGATCTAAACATTATGCATAGGGACCTGAAGCCGGAAAACATACTGCTTGACCACAATATGCACATCAAGGTGGCCGATTTCGGGTGTTCGAAAATACTCGAACAGCCCGAAGCTGTGGACAACACAACTATTTTGGACGAAAACAATCCCCGGCAGCGGACCAACAGTTTTGTCGGAACTGCCCAATACGTCAGTCCCGAACTGTTGACCGAGAAAACGATTTCGCCAAGTTCTGATCTTTGGGCCCTCGGCTGTATTATCTATCAAATGATTGCCGGTTTACCTCCCTTTCGATCTAGGTACGTACCTATATTATATAATATTTGATACACACTGCTGTTTTGTGCTGTTATAATATAAAAATAATATGTAGTTCATTGACTGTGTATAATACTATAATAGCATTATTATTATTTATTAATCAAATTCCCCTGCAGGAGTGAATACATGTTGTTCAAGAAAATTCTGAACCTCGACTATGTGTATCCGGACGGATTCAATGCAGATGCCAAAGATCTGGTTCAGAAACTTTTGGTGCTTGATCCAAACGAACGCCTGGGCACCATGGATGACCAACGGTACACTTCAATCCGCTCACACCCGTTCTACAATGGCTTGGATTTTGACACGCTGCATGTAACAAATCCACCACCTATATACCCTTACCTACCTGGAAATAGCGAAGGCCAAGAGCTTCGTAGTCAATACCGAGTTCCTGATCATTTGGAACCGGGCCTGGACGACAAACAACTCACCCGGTTACTAGGTCTGGATGGCCAAAGCAGTTCCACGACCACCCCAGCACCTGTACCTAGACCGCGCAAACGATCCGGCATTCTTCATATGAATGACGAAGAGAAGCAACACCAACTGAACCAGCAAAAATGTAACAGTAAATGGCATGGTTTAGTAGAGGGAAATCTGATTGTCAAACAAGGATTGGTCGACAAGCGAAAAGTGAGTTTTGTTCTTTGACATGTCTGAATGAGTGCATTCTGTCATTTTTATGGTATTCATTTGGTCCTTTTATTTTTAGGGTCTTTTTGCCAGAAGACGTATGTTGATGTTAACGATGGGTCCACATTTGTATTATGCCGATCCAGTATCTATGACTTTAAAAGGAGAAATACCTTGGAGTCCACAATTGCGTGTGGAACCTAAAAATTTCAGGATATTTTTTGTTCATACGGTAACTACAATTTCTGTCTTATTTTTTAATTATATTTTAATGTAGTACCTATTTTGGTATAATTTTTTACCTAATTAGTTAGTTCAACTTTATCGATATTTTATTTTGATTATTTGAATTTTATTTTGCAGCCCAACAGGACTTATTACCTAGAAGATCCCGAAGGTTTTGCTTTGGAATGGTGTAAAGCAATTGAAGAAATGAGAGTTAACACGTACGGTGTATCTCCTACGACGTGCACATAACAAAACTGTTATTGATATGACTGTCTTTTTAGCATAATTTTGACATAAACTATAATTCTTTAAATTAAAAAAATGTTCTTTTGATTACAATAATTATTTAATTTTTAGTTTATATTAATATATTGCAGTATTTTGTTTTAATGAAAATGATCTGCAAACATATCTGTGATATTAAATTTTAATTTTAAATAAATTGTAACTTAGCATGAAACAATGAAATTCTATGTATAGTATTTATAATGATTAAGATTAAGTTATTTATTAAATAATTATATTACATAAAAAACGGCTGGTGACACTGCCCCTTGCCCTTGGAACAGGCTGTGCTTGATCGATAAATACCTTTATAGTAATAATTTATTTTTAATATTTTTTTTTCTTTCTCAAGATCGATTGGTTGTGCCTTTTAAATTTATTTATTCGTTAATTAAATTTTGCAGTGGTTCAGTTATTATTAGAGATTTCTCTTTTACATTAATATAATAACTAAATGTTAAATATTAATTTTAAGTTCTTTATAACAGTGTTATTTAATAATTTAGTTAAATTGTTGAGATTTATCTAGTGCATTTTAATAAAAAAATCAAGTTTCACAAATAACCCCGCGCCATTTGTATTACTATTTTTGAGAAAGAAAAAGTACTAACATTTTATAATTTATTTTATTATTTTGTATGTATTTGTTCTAGCCTTATTTTGTATAATTAACTCATACTCTCGTCCTCTATGGTATAATGTTTGTAGAAACTTATCTCGTTATATTTTTTGTGAATACTCACTATTCTAAAAGCCTTTTATTTGCATGCATGCAGTATTTACTGTGATATATTTATTGTACGTATTCAAATTGAAAAGTAATAATAATACTTGAAATTAGATGAAGATTAATTTTAGTTAATTTTTAAAATAATTGATTTAAACTAATCGAATTAGTTCCTAAAATAAAAATGTTTATTAAAATACACTTACATAGAACCCAAATATTGTTCTTTTTATTAAATAATATGCTATTATTAGCAGGACACTTTTATCTAATGTTAAATAAATATATTAACCGCCACTGTCCAATAATCCCTTCATAAATAGTAAAATTGTGTATGATAATTATTATGATTTCTTTAATATATTTTTTTTTCTGTAAACTAAATCATAGTTATATATGTATTATGTTGTATACAAGTATACGACACTAAATTGTTTTATGTAAAAGTGTGTGTGTGTGTTTGTTTGCATAAGTGTGCGTGTATATGTGTATAACTATGCGTTTAAAGACGATTAAAAAATGAATAACAAGTTACATGAGTAAAACCGGTGTGTTCATTATGCAATAACCTAATTTTACCGATACGTTCTAATATTGTAATTAGTTTTTTTTTTTATAGTAGGTAATATTGAAATTTGGTTTTGTCTTATTACTACATGCTGTGTGAAACGGTGTTGTTCTTTAATATGTAAGGCCCTGGAGAAGCGTTTTCGTCGCGCGCCTCGGCGAAATGTTGTTTGAAGTTACCCATCTTATGAATGAATTAAGTTTAAATTAATAACGTAATTAGTATAATATTGTATAAGGTAATATAATCGACTAGGAAAAATGAATAAATAAATTATATGAAATTTGAAAACATTAATGACGTGTTGTTGTATTTTGGTTTTCCTCGCAGTGACTCTTTTTACAAGCATCCCCCTAGTATCCCAAGCGTGTAACCCGATGATTCGAATGGGTCTAACACGTTTCCTAGAGTTTGGTTTGACAATCATACCGGAAAAACGAGAAATGAGTTGCTCAACTCTCGAAGTGCGGGAGCTGTTGTTATCATCGGACACTGTTGGAAAAACGGTACCGCGATGGGATCACGACGTACGTCTATAATTCGGCACGTCCGTTTCGACATTATCGACGCAATGTTATTTCTACGCACACTTTTTGCGAAAACAACACAATAGAATATAATTATTATTATCATATAATTTGATATCAATCGTCGGTAAAAAATATCACATCGGGGTCCGTCATATACTTTTTTTTCCCGTCGCCATCGCTGCAGCCGATCGTTCGGTGAACTTTTCCAGTATCGCTGCGAACACGATTTTCACTCCGTATGCGCCTGCGTCGAAACTATAAGACCACCGTCACTATATGACCACCGTCACCATTGTCATGCTTCTCCGATTGATGGACCATGTGCTCGGTCAGTTTGCATCCATCGTCCGCTTCTCTAACCGCTCTCTTCAGTAGGTAAATCTGTGTGTTTTGTAAAGGCAATCCATGTTAATCATACAGCGAAGAAATTGGTCAAGGGACTTTTGTAAGGAGGTGACATATTATTTTCTATCTGGGTAAAAACGTCAGGGTTGGACCAACTCGGTTGGCACATGCCTAATCGTTTGGCAGTGAACATAAAAAACGATAAGATGATTTATTAGTTAGATTAAAATGTAATTTGCTTGAAAAAAATTTATTGAAGAAATTAATCGTACCTAATCCGTGATTACAAATTCAAACATTGTTAAAGATTAATTTTGTTTAGCTTAATTTTTTATGATTTTAAAATTTAATATTATACATTATACTGACACTTGTTAACTATAGATACTTGTCAAACTCAATGATGGTATATATTTATTGGAATGTATGAATTTTAAATTATACCTACATATAAATTATAGGTAAATATTATAGTAATATAATCCTTAATCATCGGTTTATCATTTGATAACACACAACACGACCGATATGAAACGTAAGAACCCGACATTTCGTCAATGTCATGTTACGTTTGTAACGACCAAAATAATTATTTCGACGTTTTCAATAACCATTAACTCGTTGAATTGCCCTCCTACACTATAACCGGACCTCGGGATAGACGCAATCCAAAGCGACGATAACGACCGCACAGTCGCATAACTGCAGACGCCATCGGACGTGTCATTGGGTCTCTGCAGCGAGGTACACGTATGTCGATAATATGCTGTTGGAATTTTCCCGACAACGCCAACGCGATAATAATATAAGAAATTATTACAGTGAAAATAATAGAGCGTATCGTGCAATAGGTTAGTATATACATGTAATACACACACACAGTACACGGACGGCTGTATGATGTGATAATATTATATTGTACCTAAATAATAATATGTACTATGCTGCCGAGTCGTTGGTTTTCGTCGTGTCAATATTACTATATATTGATTCTGTCGATATCGTTTTATAATGAAATATAAAATAACTAATGCATTATTGGATCTTATTATAATATATTATATAGGTACAATAACTATGTAGACAACCTGCAAATACAAATTTAAAACATTAACACCTGTTGTAAAGTGTGCACTCCTATCGCCCTCAATATAAGACATGCTGAATAGTGAATATTATAATAATACCGAAAAGAAAAGATTTAACATCTAACGATTTTACTTTTCATTGTTAATAGTTTATGCTTTATAGTTTATATAGGTACCATATCACTCTTAAAAAAAATAGTTTTTTATGTAGATATAGCTTATATACATTTGGAGGACGTTTATTTGAGTCGTTCTAAATTTTAATTGATAACAACTAATAAGTAATAATCCTGATTTAAATTTCTAATTGATTAAAAAAAACATAAGAATTGTGAGTTTCATTAACACTAAGCCACTAAGATATGTATAATAAAACTGTAATATTAAACAAAACAAAAAAAATAAAGAAATAACAGGATCGGTTATTTATGTCAGCGATTTTACAATATTTTCGTTTTCATTTTTCAAGCAAGCTATAAGACAGCAGGACATATTTTCAGTGTTAATTACAGAAAAATATGAAATATGCTGGAAATGTGGAAACCAATACGGCAATACTCAACTTATAATTTGATATTTTAGTCGCACTGTAGTTACTTATCGCATCGCTTGCTCCATCGGTACGAATGACAAAAATCGCATTCTTTACGTAATTAATCGAAAAATACCTTGAAGCAAGTATATAGTGCACGATGAACTTATTACGAAAATTATGTCATTTATATTTTAACTAATTTGAATTCAAGTCAGCTACCAATGGGGGCATTACCGAGTAATAATATTTTTAATTTTTTACATTTAACATATTATTATTCCTCATTGTCGTTCGTTGACCGTGGCTTCTGGTTCATGTAACATTGTAACATTGTAAAGTCAAGCGAGCACGAATTCTGTTACATTACAGCGTTACATTACACCAAAATGCTCCAGTGTGTACCCACCTTTAAGGTAACATGACCAGTGTGTACGGTAGAGTCGAGCGCTACTGTGTATTTAGTTGTTCGTCGGTCTATCCATCAGTTATTCACAGTTTGCTCTTGAGATAGTTCACATCGTGTGCAATGTCTTCTAGAATATCTTCTAGAAATTTACAAGTCGCTAGCGCATCATTTATTTTAATTCATTCTATTTAAAAAAAAAAAAAAATAAAAAAAAAAGTGAAAGAAAATGGTGGCAAACAAATTTAATGAAGTCTAGAGACATATATAGTGGATCAGATTTATTAAATTGTCTTCAGGAACAGGAAATAAGTGGACAGTACAGAAATTTCATTAGAATGTCGTCTATTGATTTTGAATATCTTATAAATTTGATCGGTGCAAAAATTTCCAAAAAAGATACTAATTTCCGGAAAGCCATTCCTATGCAAGAAAGATTGGCCGTTACGTTACGATTTTTGGCAACTGGTGATTCCTATCAAAGTTTGCAGTATCTTTTTAAAATGTCGAAACAAGTCATTGGACAGATTGTTCCCGAAGTATGCCAAGCAATTGTGGAAGCATTAAAAGAAAATATACAAGTATGTATGCATGTTATATGAACATTTTGAATTATATTTTAACACTTTTTAAAGTTTTGAACATAATTTAAAAACAAATCAAATATAAATAAATTTTTCCTGTTTAATTTTTATTAGTATTAATAGTAAAAATAAAAATATTATTGATAATACAAGTCCCTTGTTTAGCTTATTAATAATAATAATAATATATAGATAACAATTGTAATTTTAAAATGATATTAATAATAATAAATACCTAATAATGATGATTTAAGTCCCTTTTTTCTGTTTATTAATTATAATTAATAAAATAAAAATAATAATAATAATAATGACAAATGTTGATAAATGTATTTTTCTGCAAACACTTATTATAATAAAAAAGAAATAATAACATTTTAAAGTAACTGCTTAAAATCTTGTTTAATTTAAATACTAATTGTTACTTAGATCATAGGCATTATGAGTGGGAGAAGGGTTAGTATTGTAAATAGGAGGCGAAGGGCTAGGATTGTTTGTAGAAAGCAAAAGACTAGGAATATACGTAGAAAGTATAGGGCTTGGATTATGTGTAGAAGACGAAGGACTAGGAATGTAGGTAGAAGGTATAGGGCTTGGATTATGTGTAGAAGACGAAGGACTAGGAATGTAGGTAGAAGGTATAGGGCTAGGATTATGTGTAGAAGACGAAGGACTAGGAATGTAGGTAGAAGGTGTAGGGCTAGGATCGTATGTAAAAGGTGAAGAGTTAGAAGTATTGTAGTTAGAAAATGATGTGTTGGGATTGTGTGAAAATAATTGTGGCATATGAAGAGGATGGATTTGATTATTAGTTGGATAGTTATATTCATAGAACCCCTGACAAGCTTTAAAAATTATGTTTCCAAAATCATGTTGGACAGCATTTCTTGTTTGTGGAGAAAAACTTAGTAACTTTGTTTCAATGTATTTTGCATACGCACTGCATTCATTTTCTTCTACGGGTTTTGCCGCAGCAGTTAAAATCGAAAATGCCTGATCAAGCATAATATCATCTTCTGTTTTTTTTTTTTTTTTTTGGTTGAGTTGATGGAGTATTAAAAATAATAGAATCGTTTTGGCTTTCAGTGGACTGTAGTACATCATCTTCGGGTTCATTAGACTGATTTTCGATGTCAACTTGTTCTTCGATGACTTGAAATACACAAAAAATTAATTGAATATAAATATTGATTTTATAAAGATACCAACATCAATTTTTCCAAATTACATCAATATTAATAATTGTAATTATTTTTAAAAAAAAAGGGTGTGCCAGTGGGTGTCACTCTGCTGTACAATAGGTTTACAAGTGAGTCACTAAAAATTTGAACTTCAAAAGCTCATAAAAATTTAGCTTGACTTTCCGGAGAAGATTTTATTTTTATAAAATTAGAGAAACCCATGAGGAATATTGTATTACATTTTCAAATCTAAGATTTAAAAAGAAAAACTTTTATGAATTTTTAACACAACATAATTTGCACATTTTCAAGATTTTTTACGTATTTTGTCAATATTTAAACTTTAAACGCCACCGATATAATTATGGTTAGGAAAATGATGCATTGAAAACCTACATTAAAGGCATTAATATGTTACCAATAATGCTACAAAAAATGCATTTTAACATGAAAATGCTACTAAAAAATGACTTTAAAATGTAAAATATTTAAAATGTAAAATTCAGCTGATAATAATTTTTAAAATCGAAAAAATATCTTAAAAATGAATATATTTAGACGTTAACATAAATTAATTGTTAAAGCACCTAATTTTTATATCATATTTATATTTTTTTGTATTTTTTATTTACGAAAACACGAAATATATTTGTAGTAATTTAAAATTTTACATTAAATTGGTAAATGCATTCGTAAATATTCTAAAAATGTTGAATATATATTTAATTAACAAAAACTAAAAAAAAAACCTAAAAAACTGACTCAATAGAACCAAAAATACAATTATTCACGAATATCATAAGAAAATGCGAAAAAAATTTAAAATAAAATAAACTCTGTGATGTATGAATTGGTTTTTGTATTCGATGAGATATGTCCTGGAGTGCTTTAAAAAAAAAAAAATGCAAATGGTACAAATTCCCGGATCTAGATATAATACATAAAATTTAAACAATAAACAATTTGAAAAATAAAATTAAAAAAGTTTATATTTTCTTCTATAATGTAATAATTTGTATAAAAATATAATATATTATTATTTAAAAATTTAGATTCCTACGACATCTGAAGGCTGGTTAGCTATTTCAAGAGGGTACGAAGATCGTTGGAATTTTCCCCATTGTTTAGGCGCAATGGACGGAAAACATGTAGTCCTACAAGCTCCATTTAAAAGTGGAAGCGAGTACTTTAATTACAAAGGACATTTTAGTATTGTATTATTTGCACTCGTTGATTCCAACTATAATTTTATATACGTGAACGCCGGATGTCAAGGTAGAATTTCGGACGGCGGAGTTTTCAAAAATTGTGAGTTATATAAAAAAATGGAAAATCACTCGTTGAATATACCAGCCCCAATACCATTACCAGGAAGAGAAATATCAGTACCATATTTTGTACTTGGTGATGAAGCATTTCCACTGAACGAACATGTTATGAAAGTGTATTCGGGTTTACATCCCAAAGGTTCGGTTAAACGAAATTTCAACTACCGCTTATGCAGGGCCCGTCGTGTAGTAGAAAACGTTTTCGGGATTTCATCTTCGGTGTTTCGTGTTTTACGTAAGCCAATGCTATTAGAACCCGAAAAAGCAGAGGTTGTTGTGATGGCTGTAGCACACCTCCATAACTTTTTACGAAAAAGTATGAATTCGGTGGACATTTATACACCAAGTGGCACATTTGATAGAGAAGTTGGTGGACAGATAACTGAAGGAAATTGGAGATCAGAAAACAATAATAATATGTCTTTATTACCAATCCGGAATATGCCTCGTAGATCGCCGTTGGATGTTAAAGAAATTCGAAACGAAATAGCAGATTATTTTGTAAATGAAGGGGCGGTTTCATGGCAAAGTGACTACGCATAATTTTTTTTTTTTTTTTTTACTGGTACTTATATAGTGTGTTTTATTTTTTTTATTATACATTTAATAAACATAATACATTCAACTTGTGTTTAACCTTTAATGCAATTGTTTTAAATGTTCAATTTTTAACTGCTATTGTAACAAAATATTAGGAACCTTGTATTTAATTTTCGAACTTTTTGACACGACGAATAACATTTTATTGACATTTATGGAAAAATAAACTAAAAAAAATTGAAAATTTCCGTAAAAAACTTCAAAACAATTCAAAATAGTTTGAACATTTTATAGTGTAAAGAAAATGCTAATATAAACATTCAGTGACAATTTCATGTCACTACGGTCATTTTGTTTTAGAGTTACACAACAAACCAAAATATTGATTTTGCGTTAAAATTTGCGTTTTTCCAGGTGCTTTTTAAAACTACTGGGAAACTTTTACTTTTGACCCTCCCTCAAAATACCAACTAGATAATTTTCTTGTCAGACACCCAAAAAAACACACATTATTGTAAAACCAATACATTCATCGTTAAGCTCAGAATTTAAAATAATGTTATAACATCTTTTCGTTGTTCCAATCCATTTTTTAAATTTAAATTAAATTTATACAAATAAACCACTTTAAACAGTTTAAACTTTTAAACAGTAAGTTTTTAAACAGTCCTGTAGCGGTAGTGATCAGGGCGATTCGCTGCGCGCAACTGGTTACCGTACACACTGGGGTCGTGTCGTAATGTAACATTCCTTTGATGTTCGTCAAAATACCGACACTCGGGTGGATCGACGGCGTCGCGAGCCGAGCACGCGCGAATGTTACAGTAACACCGTACACACTTGAGCATTACAGTTACATTACGGCGTTACATTACACCAAAATGCTCCAGTGTGTACCCACCTTAACATTGTAACATTGTAAAGTCAAGCGAGCACGAATTCTGTTACATTACAGCGTTACATTACACCAAAATGCTCCAGTGTGTACCCACCTTAAAAGCAAAGTCGCCTACAAGTCTATAACAGTTATCACTTATTATGATATCCGTTTTATGGTTACTCAAAGGGGCTTACCGGGTTTTTAGACTTGCACAAGACTTTCTCCATACCACGGACGGCCGGAACTAGTGCATCCAACATGGTCCTGTCGCCGAGTTGACGCATGCCGTATGTCTCAACGGACGCCACGCCATGGCGTAGTCCGTCTACCCACATGGCCGGTCCGAGGGTTGTACGGCATGTGTACTTGGTAAATGTCAGTGAGAATGACCGGAACAAGACGGACAATAGCGTGCCCAAAGTGCCGGCCATGCGGTTCTCAAGCAGCCGGCTGACCGAACGAAATGTGCCTGCGGGGCTGGCCACGTTCACGTGGCCCTCAGTCACGGCCACCTTCACCGCTTCCGCACCACGGCGCCAGTTGCTGCCACAGTCGCCGTCGTCCATCTCGTCCATTGTGTTCATCCGGCCCTCCGCCTGGATAATCCGATCGCATACGTGAACTATACACAGAACAATAATAATAATAATAATAATGATATTCATCAAACGATTTAAACGTCAATATAATAGACTTGATCGTGACTTATATTATATAACAGAAAATGCTGTGTGTAAGGGAAATATAGTATCCTGCAGCGCCACGGTCGTGGAACGAGTTAAGTAAAAAAAAAAATAACTACGACCGTGTGTATATAATATCGAAGCAGGAGTTGCCTATTTAAACTGTGTAAAATACGGGTAAATTTGTTATACGACATAACTAATATTCTAATGCATCAATTAATAAACTCCAAAACATCTGAAATATTGTGAAGAATGCTTTTGTAAAAATCATAAAAATCGTACTTTTAGAAATTAAGTTATAAATGAAAAAGTTTCAACTTTTGAATAGAAATTTATATTAAATTCAGAAACCCGGTAGCTGTCGTCGTCGTCGTCGCAGCAACAGCGTTGCTAATGTTTGTTA